CCCATCGCCGCCCGCGGCCCGCGCCGCTGCCGCCCATCCAGCCGCCGGGACCCCCGCGGGGACCCTCGCCAGCGCTGGCGAGCAGCCGGGGCAGCGGCTCAGCTCTGCTCACGTCTCCGCTTCTGCTTCCGGGTCCCTCCTCTGTAGCTGGGACGCCCCGAACTCCCTCCGGGGAGCCCGTGCTCTGGGATCGGGGCGCCAGGGGAGTTCGGCCCGGCCCGCTCCACTGCCTCCTCTTGTAGTGCGGCCCAGCACCTCCTCTGGGGCGCCGAGGGCCACTCGTTCCGGCGCGGGCGTGCCCACCCGCCCCGCATGCGGGGCCACGGGCTGCCCCGAGCTGGGGCGGCGGAGTCCCCGGGGGAGGCGGCGGTCAGTCCCGCGCCATCGCCGGTGCCGGCACTGGGCTCTGGGCCGCGCGGGAAGGGTGTCCGGAGGGCGGTGGTCAGAGGGTCCAGGGGCCTGTGGCGCCGCCGCGGTGCACGCCAGGAGGTGCAGCCAGAGTGCAGCCCAGCGCGCTGCGGCCCAGAACCGGGCTGGGGGGGGCGGAGAGGCCGGCGCTCAGCGACCTCCCTCCCCTCGTGCTTCACCTAGAGCCCTCCTCGCTGCCCCTCACCCCACCCCTCTGGCGCACACCTCCCCACACGTACACACGCGCAGGCATCCTCGTGCACACACATGCACATCCCCGATGGGTGTGATCTAAGCTTTCAGATGCGGGAATCACAGCATCACCTGTCAGACACCATGCAAACTGCTATTATTAAGTTGTTTGGGCCTAATTATCGTCAGAAACTGTTGTTACCTTAAAGGGCAAGGATGTGAAAAACAACCTAGACATAAGGTCGCTGTGATCTGAAAAAAAAGTTTAGGAATCTCAGCTTTCAAGCAAAAATAGCAAGGTAGGCCCTAATTTCCAGAAAGGTATACTTTGAATTGAGAAAACACACTTGGATCATAAAGAATTAGCCAAAGAAAGATTTAACCCCTGTTCCCAAATCCTGGGACATTAAGTTCTGAGCCCCTGGAATGTCTTGCCTGATAAGAATGCCTTTGTTTGACTGGGAACCTTGGGCCACGTCAGATAGTGCATACTAACAATGTGATTTATGGTGGGGCACTTGGACCACTGGCTGTCAGCTTGACATCTGGAGGGACTGCAGACTACCCCCAGATAACCAGGTGTTCTTCCAAGTCTAAATAATCAAACCACAGTAAAAAAACCTTGGGTATCAGAGCTCAGGAGAGTGTATATGTTGCAGTTGTTAATAGACCATCAGAGTTGGAACAGACCCAAAACCAACCCTCCAGCAGATTTTTCAGAGGCAATAAATTGCTCAGCAGATTTCCCATCTTTCTCCTGCAGAGATAGTTTCCAACAGCATGCCCGTCGTGGTTGATGGTACAACTCCTTATCACAAAGTGTTACTACATAGTGTTCCCAAAGGTTGATAATACTCCAGGCAAATTGTTCTATATCATTGTTAGGAAGAACAGAGACCTGAAGATGATGCAGCATTAGTTTTCCTCAGGTTGTGCTTGGGAATCACTTGCAAACACCTCATACTTACAGCAAGCGCTGATGGCTTAGTGTTAAAGAATTGTGCTACCAATATCAAAGCGTGTGGTTCAAATCTACCAGTTACTCTGCTAAAGGAAGATGGGCAATCTCCTCCCATGCCATTTACTGTCTCTCAAAGCTAGAAGCATAGCTGTGATTTGGTTCTGACTCAACAGTACACAACAACAGAATTAACATTTAATGAAAGTAGATAGCAGTCAGTGATGTTTCTGTTCACTCGTGGCTTCTGCTTTCTGTGCCGTTCCCTGTTAATCATTTTAATCTGTATGCACTTACTGTAATAAACTAAATCATGAATAAACAGCTTTTCGGAGTTCTGAGTCTTCCTACACTGTTGTTGATCCAGGAGGTTGTTATAGAAAACTCACAAACTTTAATATTGCCCAAATGGAAATTCATTAACTTCTACTGACTTTCATTTTCCTTGTTTTCCAACCAAAAGAGATGCCCTTGAGAAGGTATAGAATCAACTAATGGGGGGGGGACATACCACAAAACTTAACATAAAAGAGAATATGCATTACCTTGTTCTTGTCAATCAAGAAAGTACAGTCCAGTAGATAATAAAGCTAAGGAATTAGCTGTTTTTATTTGTGAGATACTTAAAGTCTCTCTTATAATCAGCTTTAACAGTTTATTCTGTTAAAATCTTCCTTGGAAAGGTAGAGAACAAGAGAGGATGAAGAAAGCACTTTAACCAAATGGGTAAGCACATAGCTTCCAACAAAGGGCTGCAGTATAGAGGAGAATGAGGATGGTTTTGGTTTTTTGTACACAAGTTCACTATAAGTCTTTAAGTCAGAATTGACTCAATAGAAAATAAAACAATAAGAAGACAAAGCCTAGGAAAAGAATAAAATTGCTCTGTACATTTCAAGCCAACCACTTAAGTCATTCATCTGTGTTCATTTAAAAATTGTGGCAAATAATTTTATCTATTTATCTCTTAACACTGCCACCAAGTTGGAATGGGAGAACCCAGATGCCTTTTGGGAATGTTAAATACCACAAGCTGTTCCTCAAGCATTGTGGAATCAATAAGACTCTAAATATTTTCTCAGATATTTTTTTTTAAATGCCTCAACAAGAAAATATATTATAAAGCTTTGTTCCCACATATTCCTAACTCATAGGTAGGGATTTATTTTTATGTTCATAAGATTTGAAAGCTGTGGTTTTTTTTTAGTCTTGTAGAACTGATTGTATACAATGGGAAGAATAGTGATCTTTACAGAATAATACTAATATGTAAATTGTATTATGTTAGCAATTTTCTATTTTTCTGCATTGGGCTAGACTTAACTCTTTCTTTCTCTCTTTCTTCCTTCCTTCCTTCCTTCCTTCCTTCCTTCCTTCCTTCCTTCCTTCCTTCCTTCCTTCCTTCTGTTAAATGAGCAAACTGACAGAATAACCTTTGAATTCAATACTAAATAACATTAGCTTTCAGTACTAAATCATTATTTTATCTTTAACCAATATATATTAGCACCTACTCTATACACAGTATTATAATACTTACAGGTTTGCAAATAGTAAGGGGAAAAAACCCAAAACACAACAAAAACAACTCTACCCATATAGGGAGGTCTGGTGGCCGAGTGGTAAGAAGCTGTACTGCAATCCCAAAGGCACTGAGTTCAAATGTACTAGCTGCTCCTATTCCTCCTGTGTGATTTACTGTCTCTGAAAACCTCCTAGAGTGTCATCTGTAGGTTACTCTGACTCGATGGTACTAAACAACATCATCCCTTAACCATAATATCAGCTATATTTTGTTAGATGTTATTATAGAATCATAAACTCAAGACTATTCTAGGATGACTTCTGCCTGGGTGGGTAATAGTTTTATGGAAGATGAGTAATATTTCTAAAATGGAGAAGGGGATATATCAGCAAACATATGATAGGAGAATATACACACAGTACCTTGAAAGGGAGCACTGACTGCCTTAGGACAAGATGCTGCACTCCAATCTCAAAGTCACAGGGCTTGAGTTCACCAGCTGCTTTGTAGGAGAAGGATGGGCAATCTTCTGTGCAACTAACTCCCTCTGAAAACCCACTGGAGGGTCAGCTAGGGGTCAGTTCTGACTCGATGGTACACAACAACAACAACAACCTTATGTAGCTAGCAATTAGTTGTCTTGGAGAATCGATCCTAAATAACTGGTAGAGCAAGGACAGAAGATAAGGCAGAAAAAATGAGTTCACTCAAAATTGTTGATGTTCTGTGCCATTGAATAGACTGCAACTCATAGTGACTCTACAACAGCACATCTGAAACTTGTCCTATCTTACACCACCTTCATGATATTTGACATGCTCGATCTGTGGCCACAGTAACTGTGTCAATTCACCTCTGTCTGTGCACTTTGGACACAGTGTCTGTCAGATGGGCCAGTCACTGAAAAAAAAGACAATGTATTGAGAAAAATGAAGAGTCAGAGAAAGAGAGGAAGACCATCAAAACTGTTTAGAGAGTTAGTCCTGTGGATAGGCATCAAAGACTGCTCCAGTTTCAGAGAGAAAAAAAAAACCCAGTCTTCCCTAAAAGGTTTAAGAAGAAGCTTCCACCACGGTGGGCTACATGCCTGACAGTGTGGTGAGGATAGTGCAAGATAAGGCAAGGTTTCCATCTGCTGTTCATAGAGTTGCTATGAGTAATGGTGGGCTCAGCAGCACCTAAAGATAACAGCAACACCTTCTCATGCACTTCCTGTCCTCTCTCATTCACTCGCAGAGCCTGAGCTGCCCCTGATTTCTCCTCAAATATCTCAGTCATGTACTCCAGAATCTTGACGTCCTTGTCCCATCTACCTGCATCACTCTTACTCCTCAATACATATGCAAAGTTATCTCCCCTTTCTTTCTGGTCTTTCTCTGCTTAAAATCCCCTTGCTGTAGAAGTCTTTCTTAGCCACTCCAGATGGCCTAGTGGTAAGAAGCTGTCAGTCCAATCCCAAAGGCAGGTGGTTAGAAGTCACTAGCTGCACCACAAGGGAAAAATGGACAATCTCTTCCCATGTGATTTACTGCCACTAAAAACCTGCTGGAGGGTCAGCTACGAGTAAGTTCTGACCCAATGGTACACAACAACTATTGATTTCTCTATAAATTTTTGCTGTATGTGTTTATACACATTGGTGGTGGTATGTGCCATCACATTGCCTGTGACTCATAGTGATGCTATACTACAGTGCTGAACCCTGCTCTATCTTGAGCCTACCTTGTTATCTCTGACACACCTACTGCCATTATCCCAGCCACTGAGTCAATCCATCTCATCTTGGTTCTTCCTCTCCTGCACTGTCCTTCCACCCTCCCAAGCATGATGTCTCTCTCCAAGGATTGATCCATCCTTGCTACATACCCAAAGTATGTCAGACAGAGCTTCAGAATCCTTGCCTCCAAAGAGAAGCCTGGTTTCACCCTCTCTAGGACTAACATGTTTGTTCTCCTAGCAGTCCATGGTGTATTCAATACTCTTCTCCAGCACCATAGCTCAAAGGCATCAATTCTCCTTCCATCATCCTTAGTCATTGTCCAGCTTTCTGGTGCATAGCAAGTAATTTCAAAGACCATGGCCTGGATCAAGTGCACCTTAGTCTCCCAACTGACATCATTGCTCTTCAGTATACATAGAGATCAACATTTGTGGTGTTGTGTTGCCAATACAAATGCAGGCAAGTTTAATCCACCAACTGCTCCATATACACACACTGCTATGACTTGCCATTGAAACATTATGCTTGCCTTGGGAAAAGTGCAGTCAAAATGATACTTAGAATGAAAGATTCTGAGATTTTTGTCCCACAGACCTAGGGAATGTTATTAGATGAGTCCAGAGACTGGAAAAGGGAATCTTGCTTAGAAAAATAGAGGATCAGTGAAGAAGGGTAAGATACTAAGTGAGATAGTTTGGCATAGTGACTATGAAGGTGATTTAAGCACAGCAGAGATTGTGAGGATGGCACAGGATCCGGGAGGGCTTCATTTTGTTGTACCTGAAATTGCTGTAAGTTAAGAGCTAACTCAAGGGCATCTAACAAAAACAACACTGCAGACAGAATCTGTGTGATATG